TGGAAAGAGAACTCTGCAACACTTCTGTTTTATCTTGAATTAAAACATGAAATTTAATTATTTGCGGGGAGGTTAAGGAGGAAATTATAGGAATGCATACATGTTACATGAAAAGGAACCCCTCAAAATAAAATAAAGCAGAAGCGTGTTGCCTATGCTTCTGAATTGACAGCTATAATATGTATTTTTCAAGTAATTATCTACATATGCAAACTGGGTGCAATATACGGTCATAAAAGCAATTTTATTATAACCTTCCTCCTTGAAGAGTGCTTTGTGTATCAAATATATCAAGTTCAGTAAGTTTCCTGGAAAAACTGGATCAAGGATCAAGGATTACCGGACCAAGGATCAAGGATTATGGATCAAGGATCAGTTCAAAATGAATGAAATAAATTAATAGGCATGAGTGATGGCTCATCTACGTAACTCAGTCAAGATCTCTCTCTGTTGACAGACGGGCGTTGTTTTTAGCCCTTCCCCTGTCCGCCGACTTTTACGCTACTCTCGCGAGCGCTCGATCTCAAGTTAGATAAGAAACTGTCTATTCTTGATTCCAGTGTAGTTTCCAGGGATTTTCAATGCATAGACAACGCAAACGTCTGAAATTTTATTCTTTCGCTAGAGAAATGAAAATAGAGGGTTTTTTTTGTCATTCACACAAACCTTTCTTCTGCACTGAGACATTTGTAAACACGGCCAAAGGACAACAAAATCGCCATTATTTTCCAATTCTTTGCATTTTCACCCAAATATTAGTCAATCTGACAAATATTCCCAGGTTTTCTCTTTGACCTTGAGCTGGATTTTTCATCTGTTCGCGAAAAAGTAGTTGAAAAAAATCACGTTTTTTAAAGCACTTCTGCTTTTGCGCATTATGCTTAACCATTGGTGCGGTTCCCCTGTTGAGGCTATCGAGAAACAGAGAATCGGCAAACGTCAAGGTCCTTTATTTTGTCGGAAGTGATCAAAAGTGTGGGACTAAATTTTCTGCCTGCCGTGCCCACTGATGACAAAAAAAAAGAAAAAACAGTTCTTCCTCGTTAGTCGTCAGGTACTTTTTTTAAAAAAAGAAATCACGTAAGACGAAGAACAGATTTAATTCTCCAGTGTGTCCTTGAGATTTTCGACTTGCTGCTTCTGTGTATACTCCAAGGGACTCACAACAACAACTCAGTGGGGCGATGCAGTTTTATCACTTTCCGAATCATGTCTCTTGTCAAATCCTGTCGGAAAAACGACTGAAATGTCTTCTTCTAAGCAAGTGATTCTTCAGATGCATTCCATCTCTTTTCCTTTAAGGACATGACATCAGTAAAAATTTGAAGAGATGAAATTAAAGGTGCTGAAGATTTGCTGTTCACTCCGGCAGTCGCCAAAAATGGCTTCGTGTTCCGAAATTGCACCGGAAGTCAGATACGTAATCACATACCGATACTCGGGATAATTTAGAAATTTAATGTGAATATATTATATGCTCAAGTGAACCCGCTCTGTATCTTTCGGTCTTCAATAACTGTCCTACGAGTTGGTAGACGAAAACTGGCACTTCTACAAAGTGTTATAGCTCTTTCAGTCTTAAGTATATATATTTACTATATCTATTAAATTTGTATCGATTGCGCTTATTTTCGCTTGAGCATACGGGAGATCTTGACTGAGTCACGTAGATGAGCCATCACTCATGCCTATTAATTTATTTGATCTATTTGATTCATTTTGAACTGATCCTTAATCCTTATCCGGTTTTTCCAGGAAACCAGTTCAGTACCTCCAGAGTCACATGCCGGGCTTTTGGGTCTTCAGAATCATAAAATAATCGACGAGTTATGGCAGGCCAATTTAACGAATGCGACTCGAGCTACAAATACAAATTTACCGTTCTTAATTACTGAAATTCCGAGGGTGTGACTCAATTAATTCAGAAGAGGATATCCAAGCAGGTTACAGAAATGGTTCACGAATTGTAAACTATTAATGCGTCGACAAGACTTTCCTAAATTATGGTGCCGATACGAATTCATCGTTCATAATCGTTTAAGAAATTTCGAGACTGTACCTGAATGAATTCAACAGAAAATATGCAGGAAGTTTTCAGAAACGGACTCTCGAAAACTGCTCTTGAAAACTGCTCCCTTCAGAGATTGATTCTTCAGTTTCCAGCATTACGAAAAAATAATCGTATCACAAGTATGTTCATCATAACCCGAGCGGTAAGTACGCCTCAAGATGTTGAGCGAAGAGAAAATGGCTCCATATTTTGTGACAAACAATTCCTGAAGTTCGAACAAATCGAGTAGAAAGCATGAAAACATAGCGCTGAAAAGTACGACAACCAATCAATGAAATTCACTCATTCCGCTGTAGCATCATCTCCATTTTACCCGTGAGTTTCTTTAAACCACACGTTTGACGGGTCCATTGCAGAATGTAGATCGTTCACAGGGGAAGCGTTAATGAAAACCTCACAGATTGGGACAACTTTGACATGTGAGTCTTTTGTGTTCTAGTTTTAAGTTCTACTGACCAATAAAAACACATTAGATGACCGACGTGTGATGTGTTATCACGTTTACATGGCATGTAGGAGCAACCAGGTATCTAACTGGCTGGGTGATTGAACAGTTAAAATATTGAAAGTTCTCAATCAAACGTAAACCTATGAACCAAATTTATCCTTTTTTGGAAACCAAATTTAAAATCACCATCGAGTAAAAGCAATTACTATATGCAATAACTTGATTTCGAGTGCAATGAAAAATGCATTAGTTTTTTAGTCATTCAGGCTCGCCTAATTATTAGTATTAATAATTAATTCAAATCCGTTGAATCACATTCATTCAAACTTTGATGGTTGCAGTGCCTCAAGAAACAAAGCTGAAAAAAGAAGCTGTTTTGCTCTTTATTTCAATGTGTTCTCATGTTTAAGTCCCGAAACATGCAAGGACGAAGATAAGTGCATATTTTCGTGCAAAATGGAATAAAATAAGTTAAATATGTTAAATGTCCTATAAACATTTTTGCAACACGCGGGAAAAAATGTGGATCTACAAACAGCATAATGTTCCCTAAGTGAGATGTTCAGTTTCAATAAACAAACAATCACGTCCCTTCTTCTGTAACAACCACAAATCTTGGATTAAATTTTAAATGAAGACTTTTCGTAGTGGGTGTAGGGTTTGAAAATTGGAGACTGTTACTTGGATCAAATCCTCAGATATTTCCCAGTTTTATCTGGAGCATATTCGGTCGCTTAGTTCGAGAGGGGCGCTTGTTTGACATTATGGCCTACTATGGAGTCGCTACTTAATCAGGGGTGGGCGCATTTTCGTGGGTGGGCACTTATTTGAGGAAATACAGTAACTGTAAATGGTTAATCGGCTGAGCCTCAATGGGGTATGACCTTATCATAGTGCTCAGTAGAAAACAGTCAATTTTGGGTTTCCTTCAATCTCTTCAACGTGGGTGTCTGTGACCTCAAAAAACTCCATACTTCGTTGTTTTCCGTGGATTGCAATTTGAGGAGATTAACTCTTCGTATCTTTATTGAAGTTGTCTTACAATATAAAGGATATAGTGTCTAACCGAAGATATACCAATCCTTGTTATTGTCGAGATTGTCGCCACTGTTGTATCTTTTAATTCTTCCAACCCTTGTTTCAGCAGGGTGGTTTGGGAGACGAGGTATATTATTAGCAAAGCACGTTTTCGTCGAAAAATATACAGCTCCCTCTTCCCTCTCCCCAACTTGGATCCGTCATCTTAACTTCATATTTGCTTCGGTTGTGCCGTTTTTTTCCTTGTTTGTTTGCTTATTTATTTATTTATTTTTTATCTTTTAATTGCTTTACATCTACCTTTTCTCGTTAAATCATCGCGTTATTAGCGCGAAAATCATATTTAAAGAAGCTGAAGAAATTCGATTTTGTTTCTTTGATCGATAATTGCTTTTACAGTGAAGAAATGCACACACAATATACTGGAGAACCCTTTTTTATTGATAATTTTGCACTAAGTTTCCAGTTTCAACTACGACGTAGCAACAGCTTGGAATTGAAGTTTATAGGAGAGTTTATAAGAGAGTTTTTTTTCGAATGTTGATAGCTCATTGTACGCGCCCGTGGTCTTGCAAGTAAATTTGTGGAGAAAACAGTTGCGAATCCAATAGAAAGGTTTCAAAGACGTTGTGGACTCACCAGGCACAGCCGTGTGAGTTCGTAACAAATTTTGACCACTGTTATGACGAATATCGTTTCGATAAGAGTGCAGACCACGCTAATCCACGGCCGTTTTGTTTTTACCACTATGTCGACGTCAAATAAAACATTTGTTTCAGTGCGTGACAATAGCGTGACAAGTTGACAAGCAGCACTACCGTACTCGACAACGGCAAATTGGCCAATCAGATGGCGACATTATTGCCAATTGTGTTAAAAAAAAAAAAAACCTGTTTGGCTAACAGCGACAATCTTTCTATTTGTGACAACTGCTTCCGTGAACGATTGAGGGAAAGTTGAAAAAGAAATCCTCAACCCTTGTTTCAATTGCGGCGATCACAGCAGCTTACACAGAAATGATCTTGGACGATACTTGCTTCTTACCTGCTCTTTCAGTAAAAATCTGTCAGAGCTGGTCGAATATGTTTAGGAAAAAAACAAACTAGAAAATATTAGCAAAATAGTCTCAACAACGTACCGTTTTTACCATTTTCAAAGATCAGACAATATCATTTCCATAATGTGGCAAAGCATGGAGACATTTCACAGAAAGAAAGTAATAATCTTAAGATATTTAAAAGAAAAAGGAATATATCTGCCTGTTGGTAGAGACGATGATTCCTTAAAAGGGCAAGCATTGATTGACAATGTGCACTTCTTCTTCTCCCATCTCATCACGTCGGAAATGACCGAAATTAATGATGGCTAATAGTGGCTGCTATTCGTCGGTTACAATACCAAGCAAGCACGGCTAAATTCTACTTTCGTTATCGCTGTGGTATGTCAGTTTATCAGAAATGTGATGGTCACTTGACCATGACCAGCTGTTTTGTAACAACAGTCATTTTGCTGATTGTGTCCAACATTAAAGGATCCACCGCCACCCCCACATGAATTCCCTCTGCCTTTTCCACTGCCTCCCCCAGAGTATCCGCCTCCTCCTCCTGCCCCTCCTGCTCTGAATCCGTGAGTTCCACCTCCTCCTCCAAACCCACCAACGATATCGTTATGCACGGATCTTCCACCTACCCCACCCTGAAGGAATCCCTTACCACCTTCTCCACCTTTTCCTTCGGTTCCACCAAAATTTACACTACTTCTTCCACTGGAGTAAAACCCACCACCACCACCACCTGAAAAAAATTTCAATAATAAACAAAAACGAAACTGTGTTAAACTGAAATGTTACGCTTCTCCATTAATGGCATTTTTATTGCGAAAAAACAAAACACTCACATGCACTCATATCAGTGTGGTCAATCCTTTACGTGATGCCTTTGTATTGGGACGCGACCCGTTTGGTGGATACAGCTGCTTCGAGAAAGGTTGTCGGCCAAAAAGTGTAAAAGTGTACGCGACTACTCCGAGAGCTAATGTGGGTAGTTGCCAGGTCACGTTTCTTTTACCTCAGAATTACATGGAAATCTGAGAAAACCTCACGGTAAGCACAAGGTATCAATCAATTGATTTGGCCCATTAAAATCTACTAATTACCGATACCAGATTAACTTTCAAGATTGTCGCAGCGTGCACTTTTGTCCTTTTTTTGCGACAACCTTTCTCAGACTTCTACAGATTTCTTCATAGCAAGTACGACGTAGGGATTTATATTCACGAGTTAGAAAACTCGGAAAAACGAACGAGTGATTATATGAACGAGTTAGTTTTCCAAAGTTTTGCCACTCATAAACAAAACTCCGTATGTTACCTCAATATTGCGCAATTATGGCAGATTATTTACAATTTTGTGTCATTTCGAAGTATTTATTAATAGTCTTTAAAGATCTCGTGTAAGGCTTGATAAAACGGAACGTGAATAGTGTTCTCTATCGCTAAATGAGGAGCGGAGTTGGAAGGGATCATCGCAATATTCCGCCTTACCTGTCCATTGATCATCGGCAGTCTGTGCGCCATGTCCATTACTACCCCCCGGCCATGATTTGTATCCAGGATTTCCTGTTGTGTTTGTACTGGCGTCGCATCCTCCATGTCTTGCTATAACACTTTGACCGCCTCCTCCGCCTCCAGCTATTATCAAAGGTGTTCTGCTTCCTCTCACTACAAAGGTGCCTCCACCACCTGCAGAGGACTTATTCCACTCGTTTATTCCTCCTTCTTGACCAACAAGTATCTGAATGACTTCACCCTTGTTTAAACGGAATGTTCCAATCATTTTCGCTCCTCTTCCGCGGTACTGAGAGCTGTTAGGTGTTGAATCGTACCCTCCTGCTGCTCCTATTGCTTCTATTCTGTATTCACCACTGTAAGGCACAGTCCATTGTTGAATACCGCTGGATAATGTCGCTTGTCCGTCATGATCCTGACCTGTGTAATGACTGCCTTGTGTTGGTGGACCATATCTACCTGAGGCATTGTTATTTGTAAAAACGGCATTGAATGCTGTGGGGATAAAAAAAAAACCCTTTAATCTCTTTTCCTATCTCTTGGCGTGTTATCGCATGACAAGACACAAGGGGACACAAGAAAGAAATGAAAACCACAAAAGAGATGAGAGAAACTCGAATCAACAGATGACACGAGGAAACAAACGGAACACGAGTGGATGAATAAAGCGAAAACCACAAGGGATAAAGAGCGAGACGCGAATCATCAGATAAAACGAGGCAACACACAAAACACAAGTGAAGGGAAAAAAAAAAGAGATACAGACAATCGTGAAACGACAGGAGGAAACTTGAGTCCCTAAATGAAACCAAAACCAAAACGGGCACAGAGTGTGATACAGCACACGGAAGCAAGAGACATACGAGATCAAACTAAAATATAGTTACAAAAGAGACGCATAACTGCAATACTAAACATGATTTTTGGAGCTCAGTACAGTACTTTTCAGTACTCCTCACCTTTTTCACAATGCTTCCCCGTGTAACCAGCCCGACACATACACTTGTATTCCTTGTCTGTAAATCCAACTAGGCAAGTTGCATTGTTGTAGCACTTGTTGAAACAACATTTGTTCTGGTAAAAAAATATAGTTAGCCTTATTTGAAGAGAATATACGCACTCCAATTACTAGAAAATCCCTTAAGGTAGTATGAGAACACAGAAAAACTTGTACATGAATCGTCTCAGATTAGACGCAACAGATTTTTCCGGTGTTCTATTATTAATGGTAAAAGGACCAAGTGGAATCCCATTCGGTCTGTAATCATACGAGTGATGAACAAAATCGGACGACCACGAAGCGGGAGTCCAATTTGTTAATCACGAGTACTAGACATCGGGTATACGTTTTCATGAAAATATTAATATTAATCGGCGATTGTCCAATTACAAACATCACGCGTACACTGTTCTATAAGTGCTCAAATTGGGCTGGTGATAACCAATCACGTTCGAGAATTTTGTTATAGTTTGATTATGCTCGTATTACGCGTATAACAGCAAGTGTGAGTTTCTACACAACAAACCGAAATAATCTGCCTCCTTTTTTTTAGGCGTAATCTTTCCATGTTCTTTAATTTTTCACTTATATCATTTCCAAAACATTCATATTCGCTAAGCTTCTTTACGCCAACGTTATACCAGGAACTTGCTGCTTTCTTACACCATCGCGGCGAGTTTTATCGCTAGCGCAAATCGCAAGTGATCATTGAATGTTGTGGATTCATGCCGGACATACTTGAAGGTTTTGGTGTTTTCATTTTGGTCGATGGCGGTGTTTCTGGGCTTCTTTTGAAAAGTTTTTTGATGAAATGGCCCAGGCTAACTACAGGTGAGAACTCACAGAGGAGCAAGGAAAATATTTTGAACGATACGTTCTAAGGCTTACAAGTAGACAAAAAACTCAAAACAAATATCATATCCTTACCTCCGTACCCCTGTACATAAAGTCTGCCATCGGTTTCAGATCATTTGGGTGTTGTAATTGGTCCGAGTCACTTATCTGACACAAAACTTTATCCCTTTTACTTGGTCCCATGTTGATCGATGTACATCTGTCTTCCATGGTACACCAATTTCTGCAGTGACTATACATATGCATACCGACCGGTAATGAAATGTTTTTGAGGACATGACCCACCAATGCATATCCATACGTTGGTCGCAGGAACACGAGACGCCGACAGCTATCTGTATATTAGACAGGAGTGACGGAATGGTGGAAAAACAAAGCAAAACTGGTTATCTAATCGAAAGTGCTAGCCCGGGTTAGTATTTACATGAAAAAATGAGGAAGTTACACCACTTTCCCCCGAGTCAACTCGGCTTTCAACGACGGTTGCTTGGCAAGGAGGGCTGGCTTGACTTCACTATTTTTTTGGTGTAAATGCCTACAAACGTTTACCCAGCATGGTAATTTAATCCGGGTTAAAAAGCAATCAGAGGTCGCGTAAAGAAGCCATAAAAATCTATTGAAGCCATTGAGAGCATCTCTCTCTCTTATTGTTCTTTTCAATTATTGCTCCACCACTTTCTGTATCGAAAATATTTACGCGTATAGAAGATCATTAAAATTGATAAACACTAACAAGGCGAAAAGTGCGTGGGTTGCCCTTGAACAGGAGCCAGCCACGCGAGTCATTTTCAAAGTCAAAGTCTCTAGATGTTTCCACAAACGTGATCTACCGCAGAGATCATTTTGATGTTTACAAAATTTGTTACATCCTGCTTAACATAACGTCACCGATAACCAATCAACTGTCTTTCTTTAAAACAGCCACGCAGACTTCATCCTCTCTTTGATTAATCATTTATTAGCGTTTCCCTGCAAGCTCGATCTATTGGGGGCAAAACTAGTTGATAATAGCCAAAAAATATTTTTTCCCCACAGAATTTTACCTTCTAATACGTATTTATTTAATTGTTTGATGGTAAAATTGATCTGAATAAGTTCTTCGCAAAAAAAAAAATTGAGGAAACTTCCCCAGGAAAGTGTTGAACAAATTTATTGCATTTTGTGATGAAACTAGTCTGGAGAGTTCCCATAAGTGCTTACTTCTCCTAAAATCTTGGTTCACTTTAATTCGTGGACTTCTTTAGCTATAATTATCAACAAAATAACAAATTTGGTTGCACTCGACTTTCTTCGAATGATCACATTACATTTCAAATCACAGCCCTATCGATGAGTTGAATTAGGACCGAATTTTCGGTTCAACCTTGCTTTCCGATCCGTCAATTGCGCACTCCCTCAGCTTTCTTTAGAACTTACTATGGTGTATATGTACTAAGCGTATATGTACTGAGTATAAGTGCGCATGTCTTCAGTAAAGGACTGTCCTTAACGTTTAGTAAGATTGTCCAAACAGTTTTCCAGCAAACGTTTTAACTCCTGGATAGAGAAAGGCCCTGTGAAGGTAGAACGCATGGCACAGTCGCCGGGCTGGTGCTCGAGCCCACACCTTCCGCTCTCAGGTCTAGCGCAATGATCATTGAGCCACCAATAGACATCAAACACACGACCACGAAAATTTAAAATGAAGATTGCCTTCAAGAATCAATAAAATTCTTGATCAACTCTCACACGCAAAGGAAAGTTAAAGTTTACTAACCTTGGTTTGCACCCGTCAAGATGTAAAACCAGCCTCCAAATAAAAGAAGTAGAAACAGGAAAGAAAGCACCGGACAGCGATAGAGCCTCATACTCAGAATCTTATAACAAAGGAACTTTTCAGCCTTTTTCTTGCGGTAATTCCTTGTATACGAGAATTTCAATAGCGTGAGATAACTCTCGCACTGAGCAAAACGGCCGAATCTTATAGCTCATCATCGTTAATAATTAACCCCAATGGAAAGAAGAAAACGAAACGACACAAAAAAGAAAAGAAAAGAAACAAGGAACAACTGCAGAGAGCATGTCGTTTCTATTTAAACTATAACTATCACTAATATGTTACTATTATCAAAATAATGACGATCATGTCTAATATCATTAAATGACCTCCCAGACGAAGACTAAATAGTTTGAGCTTTGAGCTTGAATCAATTTTGATAATTGTAAGTCTTCTGTATTCTTGGTGGAATTAAAATTCAAAACAATCCCAAAGTTTTGTAAACTGACAGAATAAAAACAAAGGAAAATGAATAATGTGTTTTGTGTTTTCTTATTCCTTTGTTATGCGGGAGTTCAGACCATCATTTTAGCTTCGGTACTGTATTCGATATTTAAACGATTACATTTAAATCGCACGTTTTGAATTAAACAAGGGAAACATCACGAAACGTGAATCCTTTTTTTAAATATACTCTTTTAGGGACTTTTCCACATTTTTAACCACCAAAACGAATAAAGCAGTTAAAATGAATAACAAAAAAATCCTATGAATTTTAGCGTGCAAAATTAAGTCTGTCTTAAGGCAGGTGTGAATCAGCACTTCAAACAAACTGCTACCATGACGACATATAACGAATAATAGATGGGCGCGCGTGGATATCGAATTTCTCTTCGAGTGTTTATCTCGGAAGTGAGATATCGAGTTGAACACGAGAAGAGAAATTTCGTATCTACCAGCAACAATATATTATTTTGTTTATCATATAAACACAATAGCCCTTTACTGACAAGAAAAGTCAATTTTATTAATGAATGAAGGTAAAAGGATCGACAATCCCCGAATAAAGTGCGTACGCGCTACGGTTCAAGATGAAAAAATGCGTTAAAACACTACAAAAATAAACAATGGGCGTGATTCTCAGTACTCAAAATTCTCAGTTACTGACTCGGTCCTACCGACAGATCGCAACAGAAGAAATATTTCAGGTACACGGCTACAATCGGCCTGTGGCAAATCTTCCAGTTGTAGATTTTCGTTCTCAGCCAATCTTGCCCAATACCAACAATCAAACAATTTTTATTCTACCAGTATAAATTAAGCTACAGGCGTTTACATGGCCTTCCCTCGTAATTAAAACATTCCGATGAAGCAAGGGTATCACAGAAGCGTCTTCTTAAATTATTACTTCAGTTTAAAGGGTGAACACTACCGCTTAACAAAGGTGACCGCTTAATAGAGGAGAACCGAAAACCGCCGCCTGATACGGTTCCGCTCAATACAGGTTCGACTATTAAGTGTGTTGTTTCTCTTCAAAGATGATCACCCGTGATCCCTTGCGTTTACGAAGAACACTAATGTAGAATCCCCGCTAACTTGAACTGCTAATATCCAGCCGTCTTTACTTTACACTTGGTCAATAACGCATTTATATTGAGTATAGTGGCAAATTCAAGCTTCAATGATGGTTTTTACTCCTGTGGGCCAATTATGTAATTAAACAAGGAAACACTAAAACCCTTCCGTCATTTTACTGAGTTGTTATTCAGTCTTTTTGTCAAACAGAGGCACTGTTTTGACTTCATTCGAACTCGTTTTGTTTTTATCGTTGTTTTCTGTGAAGAGCCAAAACAAGAGACTCCTTACTGAATATTTGACATTGGAAGAACTTCATAAACAGTAGCCGCTTTGAGATTTATAACTAATCACAATAAGAGATAAAATTTCTCCTTTTGGCTCCATGCGAGAAATAAGCATCCTACGGGTGATATAGTTTCCACGCGCTTTTGACAGTCTCCTTAAAAAGTGAATTGCTGTGCATGTCAAAAGAAAGCTAAGAATTTTCTTTCTGACAAACTCTGAAGATGAGGCGCTGTTGCCGCAACATGTTTTCTTTCTAATCTCTGATTTTTTTGCTCTTAGGCTAGTTTTACACCTAAACAGTTGCAGTTATGTGAAAGTTTTTACTGATTCTTTAAGGCAAGCTTCCCTTTTTTTGGTTGTTTGTCTGATGTGTGGGAGATGTGTTGGCCGGGTAAACGAAGTAGCACGGCCCTTGCACTATGTTCTTGGGAGAGATATTTTATCCTCACAATGCATTTCGCTATCTACACGTTAAAACAGGTGCTGGCAACTGTTATGACAGTCTGACTAGTTGTTAAATGTTTTCAGTCGGCTCTCAAATTAATTCTTAAGGACAATGTATTTTAAAGTCAATGATTACTTGTTCCTAAGAGATGATATGCGATATGTTATGATGACAGAACCCAATATTAAAAAGTTGTTGAACCTATATACATTACCATACAGTTAATCAATTAGCACTACAGGCAATTCGAGGCGAGTACGCCCTTTTTTTAATATAAGTTTAATTCCATCATTAAACTATCAATAAATAAGTATTGAGAGCTGAAATTCAGTGGAAAACAAAATGTTTCGTGGTCATCGTCAACGATCCAAATGTTTGTCCCCTAAACAATCGAGCCTGCAGAAAAAAACGCTGATAAATAATTGATCAGAATAGATATGACACTCATTAGAACTGAGTAACTTGAGAACAAATTAAACAAATGGAATTACATATGAAACGAAACTTTTTTCGTTGTTCCGGTAAGAATTTCCCTTTGATTTCTGAAATGTACAGATGTACATCGATCAACATGGTACCAAGAGAAAAAGATGAAATGATGTGCCAGCTGAGTGATTCGAGCCAATTATAATACCCAAATGATCTGAAACCGACGGCAGGCTTAATGTATAGAGAAACGGAGGTAAGAATTATTTGCCGTTCTTCAACCTTGTTTACCATTCAAGCGATTTTCTTAAACCCTCTGCGAGTCCTCACCGAACCAGATAGGAGAATTCATAACAAAACTTTTCAAGTTGGAGCCTGAGAACATTGCAATCGAAAAAATAATAAAAATAAAGATCGCTTTGGGTGCCCCGTAGGATTCATCAGCATAGATCGCTATCGATGAATCACCTGATCATTATGTGCCATTGGTTTAAGGTGGCTCAGCAATTATAAATATTCTGAAATAATCAGCTGTATTATATTCCACCAGAATAAGTGCTACTTCAACAAGTGCTGCAATAAGGCAACCTGCCTGGTTGGATTTACGGACAAGGGATATCAGTGCATATATCCACCTGGATACACAGGAGAACATTGCGAAGGTAAGGCTAGGCTGCGCGTGCGCTGTCATAATCCTGTTTACTAGTGCATGTATGTACC